AATCAAAAAATCAATTATATAGAAAAGTTGCCGCTTTACTGCTTTCCAAATTTGTTCTTTGCAAAATGAAACAATGGCTGAAGGATGGGCTGCCCCTCCTCTTACCCTACTTTTTAGCCAGAAGGGAAATAAATGTTAGTTGGTGTTCTCTCACTTGACTTACTGCTAAAAGTAGAAGTGTTAGTTTCTCTTCACAGCTTATAAAAATCTGCGTGTTTGGGGGGGTAGTGTTTTAGCACAGCCTAAAACAAAACAAAACAAAAAACCCACCACCCCAAAACCTGAATATTTCCCCACAAAAAAGGCCAAGAGAATAGGCTCCACCCAAAAAAACTCCAGTCCTATGACACTTGTTTTTTCACCCTCTTGTGTTTACAAAGAAGCCCGTATTTCTTCCAGTACTCCTCACAGACGTCAGTGTCCTGGCTGCGTCTGCTCAGATCAACCAATTTTCTGTTGCATTTTGCACATGGCTTTTACTTCTTTGGAATGTGCCTCTTCATCCCTTTGCATTCAAGGGCTGAGAGTGTCTTGCTCTGTGCATGCAGGTGCAATAAACGTTCCTGAGCTGCGGGCAGTCACATACATGGCAGGTTCCTGCCATTAGGCCCAGTGTTGGCCCTTCCTAATGCCATAGCAGTGTGCCTGTTCTCAGTATTCTCTCTTCATTTGTTGTCTGCTCCTGCGTGGGCTGTGTGCTGCCAACAAACTCAGAGATGAGTTAGTTGCCAAACTCTCTCTCTCCTCTTGATTAGCAGACACAGATCAAAGTGACAAAATTAGGACTCAGGAAATGAAGTGAGGCAAGAAGAGGCAAGAGGAAAAATTTCACAGAGGCCACAAAGATTTGCTTCCTTTCTACCTTCTACTTTTTTACTTCTGCTGCACAAAAAGCTGCAACTGGACAGTCTTCTCAAAATTTTCCATTCACTGAAACAAGCTCTCTACCTTGACCTGACTCGCACACTTCTTTCTGCCATGCTGAGCTTTGTGGTGAACTTTTTTGTGTCAGAGTTTCTAGCTATCAAATGTGTTCTGTTTTGTAACTATAAACTGTCTTCTTTTGTTTCTCTGCTGGGTTGTAGATGCCAAATTGGAGGCCGTGCCAAGGCTTTGTATTTTACAATGGCAGCACTTATGAATAGAAGCTGATTAAGGCTTTGCTTTCCATCCTGCTTTTTTGAAAGGGTTTTAGTGAAGCTTAGTTACTTCTAACACATTACTATTGCATGGCAATGTATGACATTAACACCACCAAATTTCTGGATCTGTCTGCTTTGCTGATCCTAACTGCTCTAACTTGATGGCTATCAGTGCATGATGTCCTAGGCAAGGCTGTGATTCTAAGGGGTGCCATACATTGCCACCCTTTTCTTTTTCTTTCCTCTCTAGTCTCACTTTTCAGTTTAGGTCTATGCCTATTAAGAATTTGAGGTGATCATGCCTACGTTGCTATGAATAGCCCACTAGGAAAAGAAATACTGTCTCCCTGTCTTACATACTTAAAGCATCTAGGATGTTTCTGAATCTATTGCTTTGATACCCTTCCTGGAAATCATCTTAAGTTGAGCATACCTGGATCTGGGTGCTAGGAAACCTTACAGTGCAAGCTGAGAAGTAACCTGGTCCCTTTGAATTTTTCTCTAGCTACTCTTCAAGTGTCTCAATCCTGTGTGAAAGATTACAGGTTTGTATATATAGCGGACAAGTAAAAACATCCTTAGTTTTGTGCACTGTTTTTTAAGTGTCGTCATTATTTTCCATCTAGAAATAGCTCTCTGAGTATCAGCAACTACTAGTCCCCGGCTGAGAAAAGACAAAGTCTGGAATGAACTCTCCTGAGCAGAAGGTGGAAAAAGGTGGTTTTAAACTCTTGGCTGGCTCAACCGTGGGGCCAGACACACAGCAAGCTCAGCTTTGTTTAGTGAGTGGTGTGAGTTCTTCCTGTAACACGCCTTAAAAGGGAAGTTCTGATTGAGGTAGCGGTTTAGTTGTGAGTCATGCAAGTGAAATGTTAAGTCTGTTTCTCAGACAAAAGCAAATCCAAATTCCTGAAAGTGGTCTCACCCCTGAGCCTCAGAGAGCTTTGTCTTTGCTAGCTGCAAGCAACAAAAAGAAATGGGAAGACTTCTTTCCAGTTGTCTTAATCAAAAAGTCTCTGGGCTAAGTTGCCTTATAAGTAGTTATAGGGACTGGAGTAGGGAGTGACATGCAGAAAAGGGTCCAGGAAACATCTCTGTAATTACACTCTGTTTGTTACCATGGAGATCTCAGAAAATGGCAGGTTTGGTGTTTGGCAGTTGAATCACAATTTCTGCACCTAAAAGAAGTTTTTTGTCTTTTCCAATTCATTTTCCAATTCATCTTCCACGAGGGGCTGGCCCTTCTCTCCTGAGCCATATATATCTTTGTATATTCCTCCCCCATTAAAAACCACTGCGTTGTGAATATGTGTACAAATATTAGCTTGAAGAATGCTCAGTCCTAGTTAATTCACAAGATGCTGAATATTAAAAATCTAGAAAATACAGTATCTGAACTGCCAGCACAATCAGCATCAAATCCCGCATATCTGGCATCCCAGACCTGGCAAAGCCATATTAATTATAATTGGTGTATTGCTGTTTAGCAGAATGTGTTCCTCAGCAGCAGTCCTTGGCACAAGAAAGATACTGGGGCAAGAAGGATGGAGGGGAGGAGAAGGACCACAATAGCTGGGGTAGTTATCTGGTGATATACAGTGTCTGGACAGGGATGCAGATGTACCAATGAACGGGCAGCGGGCAGGAGTTTGCCTTCTCCAGGCAGGCTGCATCTGTGTGGCAGAGTAGCTAGTTGCTCTGCACTCGTGTATTGATAGGTTGGTTGTTTTTCCATTCTCCTAGGAATCATTGCAAACTGTCGTTTGTGTGGCTTTCTAGTAAATGCCAGCAGCTCTGTTAACCCTACAGATTTGGGTCAAATTTTAAAATAACGTTTAAATTGGTAATGGAGAATACTAAACGTTCTCATTAAAAGTTTGCGTAGTCAAAGCTGGGAGCAAGGCTCACTGTGCCCTCTAGTGTGCACAGCCTGTAGCTCCACTGTCCCCTCGTAATGGGATGAGGGAAATGAAGCTGTTTTTTCTAGCAGTGGATTGGCACAGCAGATTTCTGCGCATCCTCCACGTTGCCCACACGAGACGAAGACTAGAATCACAAGGCACTGCACTGAGCCTGTTGTACTTTGGCTGACACGGCACCCAGAGACAAGCACAAACACAGTTGTGGGCTGACGGGTACCGACACCGCACATGTATTGCCTAAGCACGGATCAAGCATGTAAGTTTACAAGTGAGGAAAGAAAAAATTCTGTGCTCTGGTTTCCTTTTGTCCTAGATAAAACCCATACAAAAACCAGCCTGTTGAATGTGAGTATTTCTAGCAGTTTTACAGGTGGCAGAGATGAATGCTATTCCCCTTACCTCTACAGTTTTTGTCCTGTCAAGTTCTGAACGTAGCCAGTCCTAGATCTTTAATATGTATGGGGCTAAACTGACATCTCCCATGCTCTGTACTTGTCTCAGGCCTGCTCTTTGCTGGCAGTCTCATCCCCAGATCGCTTCATTATCCTCTTTATATGTTTACTCTGATGTTCCACTATTTGCTGTCCTTTCTTTATGTCATTAAATTTGTCTACACACAGATAACTCCTTGTGCCAATAGCCTCAAATCTATTCAGCGATGCGGTCCCAGGAAGGGGTCAGTTAAGGTGTCTGAGCAGCCCCCTAAGCGATTCAGCCACTGCGTAACACTTCGCTGCAGATGTCCCGAACATGAAGGCAATGCAGGGTTGCCACTGGCTGCTGCAGAGCCACTCTCATTCTGCCTATTGAAATAAGGTGGTGAGAGGGTGTCCTGCAGTTCAGATGAGGGCACCATGCATCATGAGACACTGTTTGTAGGCCATGCATGCAAGGTTCTTGGCCTTTAAGTCTCAGACACTCTATTCCTTTCATACAGAATCACCTTTTTTTTAATATCTGATGTGATTTGTTTGGTTCTCTGATTCTATCAATTTTCAGGCAACTCTTCTCCAAGTCTTCTGATTCATAAGGCACTGATATTAGCCTTTAAAAGCTGCTGATATCCCATATTCTGACACTTGCATCAGTATGTTGGAGGAAGAAAAATGTAAAGTAATGATGCTGGAATATGCCTGCCCAGCAGGCAGTAAAGCAGCTGTTTATCATAAAAGGAAGATGCCATGCTCCAAGTCACTGAACTGTAGACAAGCTTCCAACCTAAACAATTCTATGATTCTATGATTCACTGCAGTGACCAAGCTCAGGACTATTGCTGAGCTTATGACCTCCCCCAGGCCGTCCTTCCCGCTCATTATTTTGCCAGACAGTGCAAATTCATTGTTTCATTCACTTCCTCTAACAGCTTTCAATGGGTTCCCCCAATCATCCTCTTCTTTCCAATAGCAATCAGCTTCTTCCCCAGCCAAAGCATTGATTTCAGAGGAACATCACACTGTCGTGCCTGTACACTGATCTTCAAATGTCCTTTTTGAGGTACTGCCAGGCAACTGATACAGCATAGCAGCCAGGTAGCTTTTTAAGTTTCACCCCTACATAGCACTACAGCACATTTCCAGCACCAGGTTTCACAGAAGCCAGCCCTCTAGCAATGCTGGGTTTCTTTTGCCTTACGTTCCACACTGGAGAGTTGTAAGGTGACTGTGGATGGTATGGTGTATGTTCTTCCTGGACTGAGCTGCCCTTAGGAGAGAAAACTTGGGAGGCGGAAGTCTTCTCATTTGTCTTCATAAGATTCTCCAAGAATTCTGAGGAAATCATTGGTCTCCTTTTGTGGCGAGAGAACTTTTCTGTGTAACGGGTGTTCTTTGTGAGAGCCAGAGACCATTGTTACTTACAAATGTGTGGTTTTGACAAATGGGTAGCAGACTTTGGGAAGAGAAACCTTAAATTCTTCTCTGATTCTGGTTTTTCATAGGACTCTATGTCTTGGTGGGAGCAGGGGCTCTCATGACCACAGTTGGATTTTTTGGGTGCTGTGGAGCAGCGCGGGAGTCTCAGTGCTTACTTGGAGCAGTAAGTAAACAGTTTTAAAGGCCTGGGCTGTGCAGGAAAATCATTCAAAAGCATACGCTTTGTGTGATTAGTGGAAAGATCTTCACTGTTCAAGACCTGAAATGTCTTACGTCCTTTTACTGGCTAATCTAGCCTCTCTAGCCACTGTGCTATTGCAGAGCTTCCATATGAAGAAGTTCCATTGCTTGTCTCGTGATATATTTCCTGGAATTACTACCTGTCTTTTCTGAAGCTATCAACTGAGCCACATCTTTGCCATTTCCACTTTTGCTTCCATATTAAAAGAAATCTGACTTGACACCCTTGTTATGGACCTTGCTTACCAGCTTTCTTTCAGTTACCATGTGGGCTGTTGAGGCCTGGGGCAAGGATGAGGGACTGACTGTCAGTCCATATAAAGCAGAATTGTGCAAAGTATATTAATATAAGATTCTCTTTTTGCTCTGCAGTTCTTTGCTTGCTTGTTGGTGATCTTTGCAGCTGAGGTCACTGCTGGAGTATTTGCCTTTATAGGCAAGAAAGTGGTAAGTAGCAAGCAACTTCTAATATAATAATGGGGCAGTTACGAATTCCAGTGCCAACTGACCTACAGTCTGGCTCTTGCATAGAAAAGCTTTCTAGGAGACCTTTCCCAGGAAGATTCTCTGACATTCTTACCTGGAGTCAATGAGAGCTTGTTTTATCACAAGTCCAGAATGGGATGCAGTTTTTGCCCCTCTCTATTAAAGTAAATCTGTAGGTGTGGTTCAACTCCACATCCACAAGGAACATCGAGTAGAACTACATGGTAAGAGGGTATTGCTTGGGAAAAGGGCAAATTCAAGCACTGAACTTCTCCAGCTAACAGTGTTTAACCAAACTACAGACATTGTGACCCATGGAGAGTCCCTCTGAATGCCATCAGGCCACAAAACCTCCCATCTTTCCAATCATGATACCCCAGTTTTCCAGGCATAATTTTCTGCTCTGGAGGTTGATGACACAAGCTGGAAGTCTGCACTGGATGGGGGGGTAAGATTTATTTCCCACTAACTTGGAGGGTCTGATTTCTGCAGGCAATACAGGAAGGCCAGAAAATCTATGAAGATGTTTATGATGACTATATGAAAAACCCAGGGGGGGAGGTCAACAGGACTATCTACAAATACCACTTGGCTGTGAGTAGTCCTCCTGAGCTTTAATACCTCGCACTTCTACCCTGCTGTCACATCACCCTTTAAAATTCAGAATGCCTCCCACTGAGGTATGAAAGAACAGAACTCAGTGTTACTCAAAATGGAGCCAGAGGCTCACAGCCCAGTTTCCTGATGGCTCTGGTTTTCAGCTCCCAAGTGAACCCTACCTTTGAAAGTGAAAATGGCCAGGCTTTTAAATTTCAGCTGATGCTTCTGGTCTTTGTTGTGCAGAAGATATGACTATTGTAGCCCTTTGTATATTAAAATCCAAGAATAAATACTCACAAATGCAGAGAGAGGTAAAAGGTCTGAATCTGTCTGCATTTATCAGAGAAAAAACTGTGACCTGTGTCCCGGTACCTGCAGTGTGGCAGATCCTGTCACTGACTGAACCAAGTAGGTAAAGAACCAAAAGCACGTGTGACTCAGTTCAGGCCACCCAAAAAGTTAGTGTCTTAATCAGAATTAGAACCTATGACTTCCTGGTTCTAATTCTGATTAAGACACTAACAAAGCATAGTGCTGGGTTTGGAGACAGTAGTAAATCAGAGTGCTTCAGAGGGTCTGTTTTTCCTGTTTGCCTGTCTCCCACAAAATGCTTGGAATTCCTCTTTGGGTCAGTAATAACAGCTATGGGAGAAGGACAAAAGGGTCTGAGGTTGTGAAATGTTTGTCCTAAAGAACGTGGGAATGCTGCAAGGAGCAACAAAGCTTGGGCTTGATCTCTGTGGGAGGCGGTGTAGATAGCTGTTATTTCTGACCCAAACCCAGGACTATGCTTTGTCAGAAATAGATTCTAGTATTCTCTGTTGAAGCTTTTGTGCATTGCCCATAATTCTGTAGGCGCTATTTGAACTTTCTGCTTTCTCCCTTTAACAACTCCTCTTTCCATGTAAGACAGGGATCTGCTTTTCCAAAATCCACTTGTTTGCTTTGTTATGAGATACTGTGGTAAAAATGCCTTCTGGAAGTTGTTGTTAATACAAATTTGTCTGTTTGCTATGGCTTCAGACAACTGAAACTGATTTCTGAGAATTTTGGCCCATGCAGTTGGAACTCTAGCAGAGGTAGCAGTTAATATAGGGAATAAATTTATTACTTGATCTGTATTGTTTCTTTTTTTTTTTTTAAGCTATTTATTGTGTCGCTTTCAGTATGAAACAAGTCTATGGTCTCCCTTTCTTTGAGTCTTCATATCTCTCTCTCTCTCTCTCTCATTTAGCTCCAATGCTGTGGCAAAGATAATATGGAACAACAAACAGGATTACCCTGTCCAGAGAATATCCAGATGCCAAAGGCAAGTGTACTCTGTTCTGGTTGTCCTAATCAATTTTTCGTGTCAATTGTTAAGTAAAATTGGAGACATGCTATAAGTAAAAGAAAGGAAGAACTTCCTTTTTTCCTTGCAAATTCCAGCATGAAATTCCATATGAAATGGAGCAGAGTGGAGGCAGAAATAAGTTGGAGGTCATATTGAATATGCCCAGCCCTCATTTCTGAAGCCAGCTTGTAGCATCCCATGGTAGCCGAGACAGTATTATATCATCTGAAAAGTGGGAAGGACATAGCAGAACAGGAGTCCTAAATGAAAAGCCCCGTGAAGGCTGAATTTTGGCAAGTGCCTGCCTTAATCATGCATGGAGACTCCTGACTAGAAGCTTTGTTGGTGCCAAGAAGGATACTGTTACTTCTGTCTTTTGTGTCAATTAATTGTGAGCACAGTGTCAATCTGAAGGGCCAAACTTCTGGATTTAGCATGGCCTATCATATAAAGGGTTTTAGATTTAGGGAAAACTGATTGTAAGAAAATTACTTGTATGTGTCAGCCTGTACAGGCAAGAGGTACAGATACCTCACTAGGAAAGGGAATATGATGTGAAAATTGTCCAACAAAACACAAGACATAGATGCAAGAATTAGGACAGTGACTGCAATAATATTTTTCATGTTTATCTGTTATTTAGTGACAACAGCTGATGGAGCTGGTTGGAGTATATTTTTCTAGGAGCAAAAATCTTTCAATTTTGTTTTTAATAGAACTGCCTGGTTGAAATCCAGAATGTAATTGATGCTAATCTGCATTTAGTTGGAATTGTTGGAATTGCAATTGCTGGGATCACAGTGAGTAAATCCATGTTCTCACTCTCAAATCTACCTTTGAGCCCAGTACCCTGTCCCTTACTCAAAGCTTTGCGGAAGGTGTTTTGCAGCAACTGGTGAGATTCCTCAAAGTTGCAGCTATTCTTAGCATTTTCAGTGTGTCCTCTCTCTGGGAATTGCCCACATTGGCACAAGCAGACTTACACGACTTCATTTTACCCATTCATTTTGTGTCCTTAGACAGGGTCCAAGTATCTAACGGTAACCTTACTTTGTTGTAATAGCAGGAAAGCGGAATGCACATGAACCAAACTGAAAAGCAAAAGGCCACAGCAGCATTTCATCTATTCCAAAACAACTGCAAACTGTTGCCTTAGGCCCTTTGAGGATCTATTCCTTAGATTTCCTAACTTTCCTTACAGTCCACCTTCTCCCACGAGTGTGTATTGTTGTGTTCCCAAGGTCTGCTGCTTCGTGACAGAGCTGTGACCAATAGATGTCACCCTGCTGCAAGGATATGGCAGGAGTGGGCAGGCTGTGTCAAACGCAGGCTTTAGCAGAAAGCATTTGCCAGCATGTGTGTGCCATGACCTCCTTCAGACTCAGAAACCAGCAGCAGTCTGAAGCAGCAGGAGGAGCCAGAACATTAGTAAAGAAATACAGCTATAGCTTCTCCGAAGAGCAGGAGGTTCATGTTCCTATGTGGAAACTTAAAAACAGATGAAGGGTGTATGTATGTAATAGAAACTGTGGCGTGGGTAAAGGGGATTAAAAAAATCCTGTGGTTTGTATAAAACGTGAAAGTGTACTCAAAAATACAGCAAAGCACCATGGGTGGGACAGAGTTCCCATAACCTCGTTGCTCAACAAGGATACACTAGAAATATGAAAATTTATACTGTGGCTTCCCACCTCACATACAGCAGAAGTTATGGAATTATAACCTCTTTAGCAGCAGAAACAGGTCTGTACATATTTCTGTGCTTGTTTCTGACACTTCATGGGGTCTGACTGGTCAGCTGTCTCCTTCCTTAGGGAGGTGTGTGGGGAGGGAATATGAACTCGGCGGTTTAACTGCCTGATAGTATTGCTCATCTCCCATCATTAGCAATGAAGCATCAGGAGGTAGCTGCTAACTGCTTTGGAGAATCAACCTGTGGCAAAAAAAAGATTTCTGGAGACTCTGGCAACACCCACTGTTCTCTGCTTTTAACATTCCCTCCAGTTAACTAGTTCCCTAACATGAATAGAGTTTTATATTTCATATATAGTCTCGGTCTTGAGTAGTAACTGTTAAGAGCTTAGCTTTCTCTGTAAAACGGCAATGCTCAACACCAGTTCATTCTCTGCTCTTACTCAAATGTGTATACAGTATTCCATGTAGAAGCACTCTGAAACTCAGAACGTATTGGTGCAATACTAGGCATAATACCAATAGTCACAGTTATTGATGTCAGTGAAATTTGTGTTAATAACATTAACTCTTGGAGCTGTTATGCTGGTCTTCACATTTAGAACAAAGAACAGTGAAACTAGTGTGAGCAGATAAAATCTTGGCTTTGATTATCAGTGAAATCTCTTTTATGTTAATTGTCTGATGCCTTGGGGTTTGTAGATGGAAGAAGTCACTTGCTACTCTGCCATAACAACCTTCAGATTGTTCTGATACGCAGACTATTTTATAACTGTTTTGTAAGTGGATCCCTAAATTGCATCCCTTCTCTTCTAGATCTTTGGCATGATATTCAGCATGGTTCTGTGCTGTGCGATCCGTAACACAAGAGACATGATCTAAAACTTTCACTGCACAACTATGTCCCAGGAGTTCCAGACTAAGCTTTACAAGAAGTGCTCTTCTACCCAATTTAATAATTGTAATGCATTTTAATTAGTGTTTTAACATACTGAGAGGAAAATATCCCATTAAGTGAGCAGGTGAATTGTGTTAGTTACAGTAAAACCAACGTGAACAAAAAAGGGCTTTAAAATGTCCTTTTAAATGAAAAAAGCAAAGGTGCATCTAAGACTCATTGGGGTTTTAATGTTTGTATATGTGCAATTAAGAGTTTACACATCTATACACATAGTGTAAGCACATGCATATCTCTCCTTACAAATATATACACACATGAGCAGGTACTTGTCTATTCAGTACCTTTTTTAGGTAAGTATGTGCAAATGCAATATGTTGTGTGTGCATGTTTGCATGCATATTCTTCCAGAGTCTCGCTGTGCAAGAGTGTACACACACCCCTAGGTATACAGTGCTTGAAACCCTTTCATATTGAGTCCCCATTTGCCAAGAATTAGCAGAGGAACAAATGCCTTACAAAAGACCTATGATCCCTTTTGTAACTGTTATTTCCAAAGCCCAAACAGAGTACAATTAATAAAATTGGATTTTACTAAAAAAAAAAAAAAAATGTAACGCCTAAGGGCCTGCTCCAGCAAACTTTAATTCATGTCAGTAGACCCACTGACTTCACTGTCATGCAGAGACTGGATTTTTTTTTTAGGATTGGACCCTTCATGCAAATACAGAAAGCTCTGGGGGAGACAACGTGTCCAAGGAGATCCAGGCTAAAGGAAGAGGGGGAAAGAGGTGGGAAGCTGGCAAGATAATGCAGTCATTTGGGAGCAATTGCAGTGCAAAGTGTGCTTAAGCTTCCCAAGTTAGCCTGAGACACACACACACAAATCTATGAGTTAAAGGGGCCGCTAAAATCTTTATTCAGAAGTCCCTTTATCCTGCAAGACTCTATGCGGTACATATGCTGGTGCATATGCTGGTGCAGGAGTGGAGCCTATATACAGAAAAGCATCAGCTTTGTCAGATGCTCTGTTGAATCTAACTGGCCTGTGGAAGCCAACCGAAGGGTGAAAATGGTCAGGGAAAGACACACAGCACTTTAATATCCTCTGTTTCTGCTTCTGTGACTATCACAGCTTCCATGGGGCTCTTACCTCAACCTCTCACCCTTTCTTGCGGGTGTAAGGCAGGAAAGAAAGATGGGACATTTTTACAGAGCCATAAATTTTTTTACTGGCACCTTTAGATTGCATGTCAGGTATAAAAATGACACTGTGTGCTTGAAATACCTCAGGGCTTATGTTTACATAGTTTGTTTCTATATTTTTACTTTTCTATTTGTCATATTTATTCATAAGAGAATGTTCCTTTTAGAACAGCCTAGAACGGAGAAAGGTTGTCCCCAGAAGGGGAAAATAAACTACAACAAAGGCTCAGAATCTCTTAATTTTTGGCTCACTAGAGATAATTCACCCTTTCAGAGAACAGTTTTTTGCTAAAAATACCCACACAGCAGCTCTGTCTCTCTGGTGATCACTTGTTCAGATTTCTGATGCAGGTGTTCCATACATGATGGGGAAAAAGTTCAGCTAAACTACGTATCTCATTGAAATGGTCCATAATGTCTAACAGGACTTGGCATTTATAAGTCATGGGGTCTTTATTCCACTGAAACACAATGGAAAGAAATGGGATTTCAGAAAACGTGTGCATTCTAGTGCACGCGTTTGTGTGAAGTATACATCCCTCATGATACTTATCTCTCATTTCCCAAACAAAGTCAAACTCCCATCAGTTTTCTGTTACTTCAGGATTGGAAATAGCGTTGCTGTTCCCCATATCCGATCCGATTGACGCATCTCGCTCTCTTTTCAAATTGTTCAACCATAAACTGTGACACTGCAACAGCGATGCACTGAATGCCAGGCATGCAGCGGGCACTGCCAACTGAGCATTTCCAGGCCTGGCTTCAGGTACCCAGCTGACAGGGAGACATTATATCGTACGCCAAAGAAGCGTTAAGCTTGTGTCACTCTGTTCACAGCTGATTAGCTATGGATGCCATGTGAAAGTAGGGCCTGGGACCTTGTTCTGTAAGCATCAGACCAGGAATAGGGCCCCAATCTGCCGTCTGCTCCTAAGAAAGGCTCCACTGGGAGAATGACACTGGCAGCAAACCCATGAGGGTCTCAAGCTGAAACTAAGAAAGTTTCTCACAGCAGACAACTGAGATAGCCAAAGCCATTTCCTGGATGCCAGGTACGCTTGAGACTGTCCCTACAACTTGTTCTGCTGCAGGTAGATAATTGGATAGCATACAACCGGGGTATTTTTTCCCAAGGTAATACTGACAGAAAGAAGAAACCTGTGTATAGTGTCATTTTTACCATTCAGAGCAAGATAGCTTTCCAGGAAAACCAGTAAAAGTAGCACAGTAGGGAAGCCAGTGGTTCAGGTTCCAAGATTATTGCCCTAGAGGGACAGAAATTTATTGCAAATGAAGCTATTTCCTTCTCTTGTGCTCCCCCTTGCAATGACAGTATTTTATTTATTTTAAACACATCTACATATAACTGGTTTTAATTCCTCAAATTTGTTGCACCAGAATGTAATGATGGGACCAGAGTTTACTTCTTTATTTACTGTTTCCTAAGTTGGAAGATGCCCACTCCTGCTTTTGAGATGCACAGAATAAAAAGGCAACTTGCAGAAACTTCTGTTGCTTCCCCAGCCCCCCACTCCCCCAGAAGTATAAAAACATCCAAGTGTCTTACAAAAACAGGGAAGAGTGGTACAAAGAAACTTTCTATAAATTCGGACTTGAACAACCTAACTTTCTGCTGAAGTGTTTTGGGTTTGTGGGCTTGGGTGGGTTTTTTTTTTCTTCCTCTGAACAGTGCGTTTGTTTTTCTGCGCATAATTACTGCGTATTCTCTAGGGTTTACTGCAATTTAGGAATATGGGATGCTTGCACTGCATATTTGGAACAGAATAACACCAGTAACTGGTTTAGTTCTCTAAATTATTGGTATAACATAAGGTGGAAATCAACATGTTATGCATCTACTAATGCCTTTAACAGAATCCAGACATACAGCCTCCTTTGTTGTTTCCTGCCATTGTCTGCTGTTGTGAGGTGCATAATACATTTGCAATGTTCTCTGCAGCTTGGTAACAGTAAGTCTTTTTTAACTCATTAAGGGACAGAAAATACAGCTGTTCTTTTCCTGTCAAAGCTGGGAATTCTTTCCTGTTGCTTTTAGATCATAGCTAGTTAACAACTCCAATTTCCATTGACTAGCTTGAGCTGCCCTTTTCAAATGCAGTACAAAATCATTTCCAAGCAACTACACCGTATGTCTTCACTAAGACAGCTTTCCAAAGGGAACTAAATCCAAACCAGTGCCTAAACTTTCTCAAACACAGTTCACGCTCCAGAGCTGTGTCTCAGGGTTTAACTAACAAACTCTAATGCTCGTATGCACCAGGTACACAGTAACTGCCATGTAAGTCATCAGAAGTACCCACTTGGTCCTGTCTCTTGTACCTTTGTCAGAGGGAAGTGACAAAAGATCAAATCCCTCCAGGTGATAATTCTGAAAGCACGTCACACACATTTTCTTCTTCTCTTGTCAAACCGTTTGTTCTAAAGCATAAAAATGTAAATTGTTGATGCCCTTATTATGTCTCTAAACGTCGTTATTCACATTTCCCTTGTCTAAGTAACTGACTTCAGTGGGAGCTTCATTTGTTACAGGAAAACCTCGGCCAGTTTTTATACCTTGCAGAGATTGCACAGGAGCTGACGAAGCACAGCCCTGTAATATCCCTACAATGAAGACTCATATTTCACTTTTCTTCATATTGAAAGTGATAATTTTATAGCAAAATATATTTCATATCTATTGAAAAAGAAATTGAGTTATCTTAAGCCTTCAAACGCTCCACAGCCTTTGGAGTCGGCTGATCAACAGCATCAGATGCTGTTCATAGAAAATGTACATAAATAAAGCTCTTCAATCTTACTTCTTCCTTTCTATTGGTGCTCCAGACACTAGGTTCTCTGAAACACAAACCACTTCCAATAGACCGTACTTGTTTCTATAGCACAAATTCTGATTTTGGACAGCACTGGCGTATCAGTTTATGCTGCAAAGTCTGCAGCAGAATTCCCTCCGTGGCAGCTTGCTTTGAGAGAAAAACCCAACAACTTGTTCTGTGGCTGAAATCGGCTTTCACTTCCCTTCAGCCTACTGTGTCCCGAGGGGGCGTTTCATCAGCTTTTCTGTCTTGAATTTGAAACAACTTCCTAATAAAAATAACCTGACATAAACGACTGCCGGGAGGAACTCGTCCGTGCGCCCCCGCGCGCTCTGCGCCT